CCCACACACACACACACAGCCGTCACCCTCTGGGCTAGGCCTGGGCATGGGGACAGGACGGGAACCTGGAGGCATGCCTGCTTTTGTGTTTTTGCCTGGGGCTGCTGTGACAGCAGAGCCAGCTCTGTGCAGTCCCTGTGCAGGGTTGTAAGCACAGCACCTTCTTGCTCTATGGCTCCTCTAGGGTTGTAGCACCTTCAGCCTTACAGATAAATGTCCCCAAAATGGCAGGTGGCTGCTGGTCTGGACAGTTGGTGTTGATAACTGATGCTTATTTACATGGCACTTGTCCTGTGTTCTGGGCACCTTGCAGAAGACTTTACCTGTGGCCCATTTCACCCCCACACTAGCCCTGTGAAAGTCTCTGACTTCATTCCCTCTCTGCCCGAGATGTCGAATCCCAAAAACAGGAATCTTAGCCATTAAGGAACTTTTCTGATCCCATGGCTAATAGGAGAGAGAGCCAGGATTTGAACCTGGGTAGTCTAATTCTAGAACCCGTGGTCTGAATTATGGCCCAACTTGAAGCTGAGAGTATTGGCTTGGGGTGAGTGGCCAGAAGAAGCCTGGGGACATAGAGAGTGGGTGAGTGCTGTGTCCCCATACGTTGGCTTCCCTACAGGGAATGGCATTGCTGCCTTTGAATCTGTGCCCACCGCCATCTACTGCTTCCTGCGCTGCATGGAGCCTGACCCTGAGATTCCCTCTGGCTTCAACAGTCTCCAAAGGACTCTTATCTACTCCATCTCACTGGGGGGGGACACAGACACCATTGCCACCATGGCCGGGGCCATTGCTGGTGCCTACTATGGGATGGAACAGGTGCCAGAGAGCTGGCAGCAAAGCTGTGAGGGCTACGAAGAGACAGACGTCCTGGCCCAGAGCCTGCACCGGCTCTTCCAGAAGAGTCTGTGAGGGCCACAGCTGCTGGGGCTCCACTGTGTCCAGCAGGACCAACTACAGCTCAGATTGGAAACCCAGAGGCTTACTGCAGCATAGGTCGCTGCCTCCGTCATCCTGCAGTGTGGGTGGAGCATACCTCTGGGGCGGGGTCTCTGGGGGAGGTCATTGGACAGTGAGTGTGGAGGGCTGGTGCCTCCATGATGCTCGGTTTCCAGCTCACTGCAGAGCGTTGGGCAAGCCCGGCTCCTTGGGCACACGGGAGGGATCTGGACAGCTTTGATCTTGGAAGGGCATTTGTGGCATTTTCCTTTATTATCTAACACATGGGGTTGGGTGGGGGGCAGAAGTGATCAGCAGTAGCGTCATTTCCCCTTGTTGGGATTTAGCCAGTTTGCCAGAGAGCATGTCTTTGGACAGAGCCCCTGGGCAGTAAGTTTACATGGATCAGGGAAACCAGCACTTGCATCTAGCTGATCTAGATACATACCTGGCCCTTGACTGTCATGGAGCTTATTAACAGCTTCCAGCAGAACTCCCAGCAATAAAATTGTTGGTAAATCCTACCACTGGTTCCTAAATCTCTCCTGTGCCCTGGATTCTGTCCACTTCACCCCACCCTTGACCTTCTCAAGCTTGGTGCCTCTTTATCGGCTCTGCCAGGAGCTAGGAACACAAGGCTGCCGAGATGTCAGGCAGATTCCTCCAGTTCTTCCAATTGTCTGCACAGCTGGTTCATCCAGGAAGGGCAAAGTGAGCATGATTTTGTCCTTTGGTCACTCAAAGTGGCCCAGGCAGTGGGCGAGACAAGCCAGATGTCCCTGGTTTCAAAGCCTGACTTCTTCATAGGTTGCTTCCCAAGTAGGACCCAAGAACAGGACCCCTGTAGGAGGATGCAGAGGGCAGTCTCTCTCACCGGATTGCCAACCACGGGGTGAGGAGGGTACATCGTGCCTGTGCCCTGCGTGGACTGAAGGCTGTGTGCCTCATTCTGTTATCTTGGGCCCCCGTCAAAGGCCTTGGCTTGAAAGATGGTTCTGTATACCATTTTGAGGAAAGGAAAATTTTAAAAGGGAGAAGACCTCTCCCCTCAAACTTCTGGGATATTTTCAGATTACCCTAGCCTCAGGGGAGAGAGAAGCATGCCCAGCTTTGCAGCTAACCTGAGGTTTGAGGACTGATGGGCAGGTCTGCTTTCAGCCAAGGTTGTGTCCTGCCAGGCAGGGGCAAACCACAGGACTTCCCAGGACTTGGATTGTTCCAGGTTTGCTGCCCCATCCCTAGAGCCAGGGACCGATGCCTAGTGCTCAGCATGGGAAGCTGCGGGCAGGTGCTTTCAGTCCAGGACAGCACCTCCAGTCGTGCCTTCAGCAGCGGGCCTGGCACTGGCCCCACCCTCAGGATCAGAGGTTCATAATTTCATTCATAATTTGTATCAAATGTTGAAACTTGGTCCTTGGGATTCTGAGCCAGCTCTCATGCTCCCCCACCCCTAAGAGCTTGCAGGAATGTTCCAGGGAAGCTCAAACCATCTCCCCCAGCTCCAACCCCAATCACTGCCTTGCTTTGGTTGCTTAAAATGCCTCTTGGCATTTACTTGGTGCAGAGCCTTAGGCAGCTTAGGAGCATCCAGCATTTGCGATGTGGTGACAGAACCCATGGCTGGGGGCCTGGGGAGCAATGCATGCTCCTTGAGAGAAGGCATAGAACAAGAGCCCCAGAGAGTTCCCTGGATGCCTTATGAAATCCAGAGGCTTGAGATGCCTCCACATCAATGCCAGTTCCTGCACAGCACTGTTTTATACAACAGGTTTTATTGAGGTGTGTCAATACAGTCAATACTGCTGTTTTTCTTTTCAAAAAGAAGTCCTATGGTTTGTTTGGTTTTGTTTTTTTTTTTTTTTTT